GGCTGGATATTAGGTTGATGTTTGTCTGCGTCCACATACATCGTGTCAACCTCTTCCTCTTCATCGCTTGAGGTGTCCATATCAAGAGTGGCAAATCTATTATTGGAGTTTGCTTGTCCGTTTGTACTTGGGGAAGCGTGCCGAGTTCGAGTAGCATTCAGTCGCTTGGAACTAGGTATGGGTGATATGGACTTGCCATGTTTGCGTTTGGTAGAACGCCGATTTTGTGCGTTCAACAATCTTTCAGCAGCGCTAGAACTTTTTGCTATAGCGTCCTTATTAATTATCGTTTGGCATGTGCTACTTATTGTAGAAGTTGCCATTGTGTAATTGGTGTTACTGGAGGCAGTGGTAAATGATACAGTTGTTGTTGTTGTGCAGTTGCTCTGACTTCCGATGTGTGATGCTCTCTGGAGTTCTGAACTGAACTCTGATCGAATCACAGAGGGTAGCTTCCCTGCTATTAAGAGCATTTTTTCATGGTCAATCGACTTATTATTAAGCCGAGAGCCAGAGGGAATATTCTGCTCCATTGCCTTAATTTATGTGCACAGAATATCAACTTTACTAATATGAAGTTTTTATTGCCCCTCTTTAGCGGCAGTGCGCGGGAAGAGGGGTTAGTGAATGTCGCTGTACTGAAATTCTTTTGGTGTTTTTGTTTTTGTTTTTGTCAAATTGCCGACACCGCACGAAGCAGCGTCCGAACTTTAAACGTGTGCTATTTTTAGCACACACGAAGATGCCCGAAGCTGAGCACTTCGTTTATTCCTCTCTTGTGCAGTGGCGCGCACAGAGAGGGGTAATAAGTTTGGCCCAGGTGGGCAACGAATGTATTAATTTGTCGTACTCCCTTTGTTTTTCGTTGTTTCGGGCAGACGACACTGCGCGGGACAGCGTCCGAAATTCACCGTTAACTTTTTTGACTATTTTTAGCTCGCGTACTTTTTCTATGCGTAACACAACCGTCCGCGACGAGAGCAGATTAACGACTTATGGTCTAAGTGAACTTTAAAGTCAATGCAATGTACAGCTTGACCCAGATGGAAAACAATCGACTCAAGGTGCAGAAGGGCCAATATAGAAATTGGCTAAGGCGAGTTGGCTAATAATACTTATATATTACTTAAGAAAAAAAGTCATTTATATTGAATCTACTTAGCTCTTATGCTTATATTCAATACACACACACACATATATATATTTATATGATAGGTATTACTAAATGAGAGGTAAATAGGAAAAACATTGAGCGCATAACAACATAAACAAAAATCTAGTTAAGTGGGGCAGGAAATTATATTGAGACAAACTACTTAACATAAATTTAACATATCGAATGTTATCGAAAGGTCTGGGCCTAAAGTGTTTGGCTGAAACGGGTTCTCACAAAAACTTGACGCGGCTTGATATTAAACATGTTGAGGGGAAATTAATATATGCATGCATATATTATAGTATAGTCATATGAACATTTCAATGAGCTTTATCGTGTCAGATTTTGCAATGTTCGGACAATAGACTGATAAGAGTCATACGACTTTGCCAGACGGCTGTAGATAAGCCTGGCCCATGGTTGATCTAGTTGAACTATATATAACGTCTAGTGCGTAGCATCAAATTATATATATTCCCAGATTGTTGCCATGGGTTAGACAGACATTCGGTTAACGATATCGATAGCATTCGCATGTCTGCGGTCGATAAATGCCTCCATAGGCTGGGAAAATTTTCTAGTTTAATCAGTGCGTCGCTGCGTCGATGTGCTAATTAATATTAATTTATTTCTAATGGGCTGCTTATCGCTTTGCTGCCAGCTAAGCACAAGTTCAATGTCAATTAAATTATAGAGATTTTTTTGATTGAGGCGCATAGTGTTTGAAATGATAGAGAAAGAGAGAGAGACAAAGAGAGAGAGAGAGAGTCATATTTATGTTTATAGTTAAGTCAAGTGGGCTGTAATCACGCCCCTTCAGCGCAGACCGAAACAATCAAGATAGATTAATTGTGATTGTTTTCATTGTTGTTGTCGTTGTAAGTGAAAAAACAAGCAACAACAACAACAAAACAATTAAAGGCAACTGCAGCAGGTTCTTGATTTATATAAGTCGCAACGAGTGAAGAGAAGCGAAACGAACACGCCCACTATTTAACATATTTGCTGTTGTTGTTGTTGTTGACATAAAACTAGTTGAATATACTAGATTTAATACATTGCTGGCATCGTGCATTAATTAATGCCAAAATAAAACCGCATGAAAAGCAAATGAGGCAACAAATTAAAAAAAAAATGTATGTATATACATATATATATTTATATACATATATATTATATTTTAAAAATATATATGTACATTGAATATATATTTTATATATATAAGACTTTAAGTGTTACATAAGTTCAAGATCAAAAGATACCCTGAGTAGAAGTTCTAGGCGCATTTAAAATATCTTGCACTAACTGAAAAGTATTACGATCAGGGATAAACGAAAGTAATAAATTCTAAGTGCATATTGCAGGAAAAACTACTAATTTTGGCAGTTGTAGTTCTTAAAATTCTTGAGTTCATTATAGATAATAACCCATTTAAAGAAACGTGTTGAGACCTCTCACTTTTGTGTAAATAAATGCATATCGACCTACAAAACCTAGGCCTATGTTTATATGCACAATACCAATATACCCCATCTAGCTTAAATACACGGTATTCAAATAAAAATAAAAACAGTTTCCCATTGCGACCTTGCAGCGGCGTTTGTATAAATCCGTTGTGACATGAATCTTATAGAGCTGTTCATCAGAAATGTATAAAAAATTGCCGCACAAAATAGAGAGACCAAAATATAAGTGAATAGAGCATAATAGAATATATATACAAAAAAAAAGAGATATTATAAATAAATTTTGAGGAGAGAACTTGATTGGCTTGCAGCAGAACGTAATAGAAATAAATCTTTTTTTGGGGGCTCGTCAAACGGGCATATTTAGTGAGTTGTGTATCTTTGAGATTTCATCTCGACACTTGAGATACTCTGCAATCGACGGACACTGAGTTCAGAGACACAGCTCGACACATTGATATACACGCTCAATGCGTCAATGATGACCTCTTTTTTTTGGCAAACCTACGTAGAATTGGCGCCTAGGCTAGGTAAACAACGCCAAAATGCGCCATTTGGATATATGTCAAGAATTTTATTTACGATCTTCAAAGTGTTCGACCAAAGTCCAAAATGCAGGGGGCAAAACCAGCGAAAAATATACAAACGCCTTTTTTTAAGTTAAAAATAAAATTCGGGTAGAAATAAATATTTGAAAAATATGGAAAACGAATAAATAATATATTTATGGCATTAAGAAAGACAAATGATTGATATGGATAATTTACTTAATTTTATAGCTGTTTTTCTAAAGCCTTTACCTTCTATAATTATCTTCATCACAAATCAATTGCGGAATTTTTAAGCCCAAGTCAGCTTGTTATTAAACACTTGATTCCATGACCTTCAATAATATAAAATTGCGCCGCTTTATATAAAGAAATATGCAATTGGGAAATCCATGCGAAAAAACGTCACAGTAATAAAAAAAATCATAAAATTTGCGACAATGATAAGATAATCTTAATACCAAAACAAATCCTTGCTCGAGCAGGTGGTTTGATTTAAAGGCAGTTATGAGCCGGAATAGCCCAAGGTAATAGCAAATGCCATAAAGAAATTCCCCTTATCAAAGACTAAAGCATGCCCATACAGTAGCCCCTCCGGAAGTCTCAATCAAAAGTTGACAAAACAAAATTTGGTATAGAAAAACTCAATCGAATATTCAATACAAGTTTAAATTGTTTTCTGTGAAGTCTTGTTAAAATGTATACAAATAAAATATAAATTTAAAAAGCACTTTTCTATAATTTAGTATATTTTATAAATGTTTATTTAAAGCTAACGAAAAATATAATAAATATGCAGGGTATTTCTATGAAAACATTCTTATATTATTTATGTAATTTATATAAATATTAATTTTAATCTAGAGGTAAAAGAGAATGTTCTTTTATACAAGAGAGAGTATTAGGCAGTCGGCTATAGATTTTATTTTATTGTGAATTTGCAATGCATTCGTCAGTTCACTTGGCCGAACATGGAGCAGCGTGCACCATTTCGTACGACGACTTGAATTCCGCGCTAAAATTAGCACAGTCTAGCTAAAAACAAACTGTGCAGGCTGCCCCCTTGCCGCATTGCCTTCCACCACCTCCACATGCCCCCCGGCCCCCTCCCCCCTACAGTTAGCCTGTTTCTCTCACCTATGCCCAGCGGTGTGCCGATTTTTCCGGATACGTTGAGGAACTTGAAGCCCATGCTTAGGATGCTCTTGCCGTCGAGATGCTTGATCAGTGTGGCGCCATCTGTCGGCGGCAGCACTTGCTGTTCCATATGCGTTAGATTGGCCGCATTTGTGGGCGTGGCAGTGCAGCATTTGCCCAGCGCCAGCATCAGTGTGAGCAGCACGAGATTCGCATTGGCGCAGATGCAGGCGAACAGCTGTTGCAAGTGGTTTAATTTGTTGCTGTTGTTGTTGTTGCCGCTATTCGCTGTTGCAGTTGTTGCTTTTGTTGTTGTAATAATATCACTTGGAGTGGTCGTAGAGCGTAACTCTATGGCCATGGTATGAACTTTGTCTATTTGATGCACTCAACTTGCGGTTTCGCGCTTAGTTTATCAATCACTTAACGGAGCTGTTTCTCAGTTTTCAAATTGTCAATCTTCAATTATTGTTGTTGTTAGGATAGGTCTATAATTATATGCACTGTGAAGTTTCAAGAGCCTATATAGAATGGAAAGTTCGGCCTTTAATAACGCCAGCAGGAAGCAAACACAGATTATTATCTAATCAAGCAGACGTTGTCTGTGCCGATTTTCAATAGCCAAAAGTAAATCAGACAACATTGAAAACTGTTGCCAAAATAAATACACAGATAAGCACGCACACACACACACACACGCACACATTGGCAAAAGAGCGCGCGTCTAAAATCGTGCAGCAGACGCGTCAATAGCAGCCGCCCAAAAAGTTAACTAAAAATGCAGCAACAACAGCAACAACAACAACAACAACTAAAAAACTGGTTAAAATAAACCAACAGTTATAACAACAAAAGCAAAAGCAAAATATCGTACGATACGCCTGCACAACAGGTCGCCAAACAGACAAAAAGAAGGTGAAAACAAAAACAACAACATTTCTGTTGACGTAGCAAAATTATACAAAATACATGACTGAAAGATAGAGAGAGAGAGCGAGAGAGAGAGAGAGAGCGAGAGAGCAACAGGGGGTAAGTGTATGAGGCGCTGGCCAAAAGAACTTGTCCAATTTTTAAATATTTATCGCTATTTTTGTTTTCATTAATTAAAAACAATTGTTGCTATTATTTGTTTATGGCACGCGTTTTCAAACGCTGATAAAACCGCGCGACGCTGAAGTGTTAAGAAACAAAAATCGCGTCGTTTCGCTTATCAATTGCCAATAAATTTTCAAGGCGCGTATTTTCTTTGGCACGTGCTGTGCTCGTTATTGTTGTTGTAGTATTAGTTATTGTTGTTGTTGTTGTTGCTGTTGTCATTGCAGTTGTTACTATATTTACACACAGTTCTGCGAGTATAGATTGTATGTGGCTTGTCTATATGCTGCCGCCTCGTACAACGCGCATTTCTCAACTGAATTCGTTTTGAGAATTTGCCAGCACATTTAAGCAAATTGTCATCGAACACAACAACACGCCCCTCGCCGCACAGCACAGCCCCCCGTTCCCACAAGCCACCTGTTTGTGATCGAGCTGCGGCATGCTGTTACACAGTTGCTCAGTCTGTATATATACCCTGCGTAAGTGTGGGGTCTGCTCCTTTCCTGACGACATTTGTAAGAATTGTTAAGACGAGTTACCTCTTAGTTCTAATCGTATTGCTTAAGCTCCATATGATTGATGGCCTCGTAAAATAAATTGTATTATGATCAATCAGAGTACCTGAACGTCGGCGCATTTAGTATTTATTTAGGTATCTTTAAAGCGGCTTATCACAGTGCCTAGAATCGAACCAGAACCGAAGGAGAGGCACATCAGAAACTCCAACTATTCCACGTCTCTCTCTCTCTTGCTCTCTCTCTTGCTCTTTCGCTCTTTGCTGATGCTATCGTTGCCCCTTGCGCAGATCAATTGATGTGCGCCTCTTAGGTGTGGTGAGTTTCTGGTATCACACGACTGGCGTGGTGGATTGAACCTGCGCGAGCGAGAGCTCGATTGATTTGGTGGCTACCGATGCTCTCACGCTGGATCTGCGCTCAGTGAGGTGATAAATGCGTGGGAAAATGGTATAAATAGTAAATCATAAATAGTAAACGCGCTCCGCGGGCTTATCTATTTGTGAATGAGGTGCTGATTGGAGAATCGTAAATGATGTGAATGAAAGAGAAGCGAAGCCATGGCGAAAATTAATTATTATTTGGCAGCTGCTGCCAAATTATGTATTAAAAAATAAGATAAATTATTAAAAATTGATAATAGTTCTAAGAGTCTGTATATTTTACTTATACATTTTTATTTTCCTTATCTACATACATAGAAAGATAAATAAAACTTCAACTTGTGATTCTACGTATCAAATATTATATAATCCATTTCCTCGTATTTTTCCATATACCGAAATCAGATAAAGTCTTAAGATTAACAGGAATCAATTGACAATTCCAAAGTAAAAGAGTCTCCTTAGCAAAGTCTATTAATATGCTTTGCAGACTTTAGTGTGAGTATTATCAACAACATCTGATGCGGATTAGTTCTTAAATTTATGATACATGGTATCTAAACATATATGTATTATCAGCTCGTAATTTAAATTGCGCACAATCCTTGCTAGGCATTCTGAAGTACACGAGAGTCAATAACCTGATCGTATGATCGTATGGTCGATAGGATTACAATACTAACCTTGAACGGAACTGAGCAGTACGAAAATTAATTTGAGCAAATCACTTAAATGCATTGTAAGAGATAAGTTCGAAAGGCTCTATATGTATCTATATATTGAAGTGCTTATCCACGTTTTATCGGATTTGCAAATGGGATCTTTAATTAAGTGCGAAACGGAAAGACGTCAGTGTTTTATTTAATTAAAGATTTGAGATATAACTGTGAATTCCCGGCCAGTTACTTGACGATCCGATCCGATGCGATGTGATGCGATGCCCAGCAATAACCGACGCGAACTGAAATCGTTTTGGGGAATTATTAGCATTTGTTGCCTTTCGAATGGCATCGAATCGAACTGAAAAGTTAAAACCTGACGTCATATTCGATAAGAGGCTCTTCGATAACTGCTTCAACTGGCCAGGTTAATAGATAACTGGCAGCAGGATAAGTCGCCCGTCCCCTACGATGATAGTCGAAACACTCTCGCCTCTGCTCTCCATCTGGCATCATCTAACATCTGCATTTGTCATCCACTTCAAGTGCGTAATTTATGATTTACGTGTGTAAATCATTTTTCAAGTGGAGCTCTCTCTGTTTGCCGTTGACAGAGCCCTTCTCTCTGTCTCGTGCGCATCCCCCCTCTCTTTCTAGCTCACGGCAGTCACTGTGCTTAGTTTTCAATTTGTCGGCGTTTCTAATTGCAGGCGTTAAAAATCGCTGGTAAATCGCATTCAACAATATTAACGAGCCTCCATCCACCCCTTGCCTCGCGCTCTCATTCTGCACTTAACTGCAGTTTATCGCAGCGGACGTGTGTTCGAGTTGAGCACGCCCCTTATCGCCGACCCTCAGTATACCTCGTTTTCTGAAGTTTTGTTTGGGCTTAACTGACATCTATCTATCTATCTGATAACCATAAGTAAACAGATAGAGATGGAGACATATATAGAATGATATATAATTAGAATTAGAGATAGAGGTAGATCAACGAATATTGAAAATTGAATTAGATATGGTTAATAATCTAACCTTAAGAGTTCTTGAAAACAAAAAACATTTCCACAAGTTACTTGATAGCAAAAATGTAAGAGCATTCACCTATTCCTATCACATTTTTATTCTGCAAAATCACGTAATTACTTCATGAGCTATATGCACTTCTATTCGACAGCGGAAATGTGCTCGTGAGAGGCTCTTTGCTTATCAATTCCGTTAGTTAAGTGTCTTGTTAGAAAGGTCTTTAATGAAATCTTCAAACATTTGCTGCTTAAGGTTTTCAGATTTGATTTTGTTGATGTTGTTGTTACATTCCAATTAGTCATCAGTTAAAGACTCTAGAGTGATTTATTTATAGGGTTTTACAGTAGAAATGAATGAAAGTAGATTATCTGTGAATTAAATGTATCTGCGTATCATTCTTATTATATTGTCATTTAATATCGAAAACGAAGAAGGCTTCGATATAATTTGGTAGTTATAATAAAAATGTTTTTATCAATGTTTTGATTTAATTACATTTGTGTTTATATTATATCATTTTATTCATATTTTTATTTGATTTAAAATTAAAGTCCTTTTTTTAATTATGGAATTTATATTACTCAACCACTTGATCGATCTTAAGTTTGGAAAATCACTTTAAATTGACTTATATATTTATTAATTTTTTAATTAAAAAGTTATCTGAATTTTTATTTTTATTTTAGTTTTTATTTTTATACAATTTTTTAATAATTACTATGAAATTATTTTTAATTTTTATTTACAGCTGTGACTGCTTCTGCTTCTTTTACTACTACTATTCGAACAACAACAAAATATTTTCGATCCCGTTATCCGATTAATCTTGACTAATGCAATTAAAATTGCAATGGGCCAACCAAAAACCGTTAGACTCGACGAAAAATGTGCACGAACGCAAAGCGGAATGTAAACAGCGAATGAATGAATGAAGCGCCGGCTAAGAAGTAACGGTAAATTTTCACATGTGCCAAAATGACAATAGAAGACCGCGCAGCCCAGCCAGACATCGCGACGTCAGCGCCGACGTCGACAGCGGCGCGCTAACAGCAGTGGATGCTGACCATTAACAGTGCTGTTAACAGGCCCTAACAGCGCATGTTGCGCACTCTGCGACGTTAGCGCCGACTGCGCAGCCAGCGCCAGCGTCAGCGATATCGCTCATAAACGTCATTCAATGAGCTCTATCTAAAACTACGGCAATAAGGCGACTGTGTTTGTGTATGTGTGTGTGTGTGTGTTCACTGAAGCGTTGCTAAATATGAAAACATAAAAATTAATGTTATATTTATAGTGTGGCAGCCAAACGCGACAGCAGGAGGCGTCGCTGCGGTCCACGCTGCCGGGCTCAATGTAGTTAGAGCACAAAGGCAAGAGGCAGGAGGGGGTTGCTCTTGTTCTTCTCGCTGCAAGATGTGGCTGCTTCAAGTGCTGCTATTTGCTTTGCCCGGCAGCAACTGCCGCTTTGTTTGCTCTAACTGTTATAGTTCGCAGGGGGCTGGGCGAAGGTCTAGCCGAAGGGGCTCACTTGCTTGGCTCTTGCCTGCATTTCAATAAGCAGCATACAAAATATTTCCAACAATAAATCGCCTCGAATTGTAACGCGCCTAGCCACAGCGCCAATTGTGCACAAAAAAGGGAACAGCAACAGCCACGACAACAACAGCAACAACAACAATAACCGTAATTCAACTGTCGTCTCTGGCGTGCTGAGTGTGTGTGTGTGTGTTGCCCTTGGCAATCCTCGCTCACTGGTGGCCAGCAAGCGCCACA